ATACACTCAGTCAAAATTAAGAAATTGTCAAATTTTTGAGATACAGCACTCCACTCGACAAAAGTTGTTGAAACTTAGTTTACTTTTTCTACAAAAATAACTCATAACAAAAGTTATGCAAAATCGCAAACAGTATTATGAATCTCTTATTTTCCACAAAAATCCATACCTGGTTAATGGTTTCTAGTAAATCTCACAACTTTGATTAAACTTTTCCTGTTCAAATCCAACTTTCCAACTACCGATCAGCTTGTGCAAATTTATGTAATATTGATTTTTTACTTTTATGCATTTTTTACAACTTGTCTTTCACATTTATCTCTCCCGTGTCATTTTGTTCATGTCACAATTTTAAAAATATATTACTGCATTAACAATGATCTAATCTCACACGTGATACAAGAAGAAGAAGAAAAAACAGGAAGAGCGTGAGCCACTTCCGTGTCTGAAATGTAAAATGTCCGATTAAAATTTCGATCTAGATGTTTCGCGTCGAGAATATGAAGAGCAACATATGAAAGAAAGCAAAATGAAAACGAAATATGCCACGTCCTAAATCCACCTTTTAAAAAATTCTTACAATGTTTTGGGTAAAGCCAACGTTGACGCTTGTTAACAATAAGAAAACTATAAACTATTAATATAATCTAGCTATTGCTGTTAAAATTCCTTATCAATCAATAATCTTGAGAAAAAAATAAATTTTCAGTTTCATAAAAATTTCAGAGGGTGTTTTTAAGAAGCGCTTTACATTTTTTTAGGACGCCATAAATTACAGTGTCCAGAAGTTTCTATAATATATGGCCAAAGTATTTTCAATTTCGACAATATTTTATGTAGCAACCTCTTGAAATTTTATTTTTGCAACATTACTACAGAGACTTATCAATTCGAAGGTGAGTTTAGGAGCTTTTGGAAGATTTATAGACGGAAAAGTTCAATTTCTAACTAGAGGTAACTTCCAGCAGACGATAACAAAACTATTTTTTTATTGTACCAAATATCTGTGAAAATGTAAATTAAATAAACTTATTTTATTCATTCATTTTCATAAAATAATCGATAATTGCATAAACATCGGAAAATTATCAGAAGATAAAATAAATTATCAGCGAGACATAGTGGAAAATAAAACTCTCCACATTGACGAATGCCATAACAATAAAAACCTTATCATCCTGTTTTATTATTATTAAGTACTTGATACTTCTAGAAAAGTATTGAAATAAGAAAGAACAACAAGACAAATTACAGCATTTCGTCACAAAAAGTTGCAGTAAAATCTTTTGCAACTTTCTCGAAGGTCTTTTAATGAAAAATGCGTCGTAATCTAAAGGCACGCAAACGTCAGAAATGTACATTTTCCGGATTTAGTCAAGATGAATGTCATTATAAAGACGATTTACTGGAAATTCGAGTGACTGCTTGTTATTACTTCCCTTATCTTATTCTCTTGAACTGATTTTAACGTTATTTTCTTAAATTTCTATGTGTGTGACAGGAAAATTTATTCTCCTCAAGTTCTGTGTTTGAGTTAAAGATGACAACAAAGTTTAGTTTCGCGCACACATGTCTACACCATATGGGATGACCCGGGTTCTTTAGGGATAATTAAATTTATTGTCGGCTTGATTATCGAGAGTGCTGAATTAGATGACGCCAATTTCGGGGAAAAACGGGCCATGAAACTCCTTATTAAATTGCGACGGAAATAATCGCATTTTTGGGATTGTCCTGACGTCATTTATTAATCACAGATTATGAATTTTGACATTCAAAATTAAGATTTTATTGTTAGTAGAAATTTGGGGTACTTGAGTGAATATTTTAATTAATAAAATTTGTATTTTTCTCAAAGTGAGATTAAAAACAAACTTGATAGAGGGGTTGATGTAAAAAAGCAAATAAAATCCGTTTACTCTGCCACCTTTTTATTTACTGGCATCAAGCGTTATGCAAAACAAGTAGGAAAAACCGCATATAGCGAAAGACAAAAGCGTTTTATACTGCAAAAATATTTTCTGGCTTCATCACAACATCTTAATTGCATTTTTAATCACTACTAGAAAAGTTTTATTGGTATAAAAGTGATTACAGATTTATGTACTGGCATTGCAGTATTGTTTTAGCTCCTTCACTATTCCAACGTTCATTATTAGAACGCTATCCAGAATCTTCTTCCTCTAAATTGATTCCAGATTCGTCTAGCTTCCTACATTTACCTACATATAAACTTTGATTGAGTTATAATTATAATGAGCAGCTGTTTTCCTAAGCGTTGAACGGCTTTGCATAATAACGTGTGCAATCCTTGTTAAAGTGTATAATCATTTAACCAGAGTTTGCCTGTAGTGGCTAATTCAACTAACAGTTTTTGAGTTAATAGTGAATTATTATTAATTGTGCAGAGAGATTAAATTTTATTAAACATCGGATCGGGAAATTTTAATGAAAGATATACTATTTCCAAATTTTTAGCTCGAGCTGTTGTGATTCCCGAGTGAAAGATAAATTCGCAAACTTTTTAAATATTAAAAAAAGATCAGTTAGGGACTTTGAAGGAGCTTTGACTTCTTGCTCGAAAATATTCTCATGACACCACTTCAAACTGAACAATTGTAAAAAATATAAACATTAGTGTAATATCTTGCATTAACAATGTACTCAAAAGTGACCGGTTTTCTCAATTTCCCTTGACTAATTTCGTGCTGTTAGTCGTACAAACTTCTTCTTTCACAATTAATTCAAAAATATTTAATAATCTCTAAACTTGCCCGGGATTTTCCTGTTATTATTTCAGTGGATTCAGAATTACCAAAACATTTTCACGAATAAATTACTTAATTTCGAATATTCATCCCCCCAAAATATTTATTTTAAATTGCTTTATTATTTTTTAGTGGACGAAAGCAATAACAAATAAAAAAATGTGTAATAAATTCCAATAAAATACCTGAACTATATATTGCAGTTTTATTCAAACAATGAAATATTAATGGAAAAATCAAAGTTAGTTGTCAACCACACAAACGACAATTTAGCGCACAATATTAAAAACCAATTGCCGATTCATTTGGCACACGCATACAGTTAAAAAAATCTAATATAGGTGTAGCATATCATGTTTTTTTCCAAGCCGTTCATATTTTGACCTTAAAATACTAAAAGCTGTTGTTACTAATACTGTAGCCGACCTCTACAAGAACAATCATTGAAGACAAAATAGATATTTACGTATCTAGTCCGGAAAGTTAGTTTTTACTGGATGAGTAAGCAAATACCAGGCCGAGTCATAGATGAGTCCCTGTTAGCTTACTAGGCCAGTAAAAGCTCTTTCCGGACGTGGTGCGTACAAATTTTTTTGCAATCGTAAATTTTCCATTTTTAATTAAAGAATTTAATTTAAATTTATTGTGACAATATGCTACCTTCTGTGTCTCTGAGAAAAGCATGAAAAAGTTTTCCTAAAATTCAATTTCCTGTTTTTACAGGACTATTTCGGTAAAAAGGCACTTTCCGAGTTGAAAATTATTAAAGTAAATTGTACATTACTGTACGATTTCAAAAAAAAAGAATTTTTGTGAATTCCAACTCAAAAAAGTGTAATTTTTTGTACTGTAGTCTGTTTGAAATCTAAATTCTAATTAATTCGTTTTTTAGTTATGTTTTCTATTACCTATTATTTATTCTATAACCGCATTTAATATTATTTATTCACAATCATAATAGTTATTTATTACACAAGATGATAAAGAAATTGTTTATCTACGAGTGAAAAGGTTAAGTGACGAAGTCACGAGTGGGCTTTTTTCACGAGTAGATAAACAGTCTTTATCGTCGTATATAATATTTCGTTCTATTTTGTACCCATCTACCAGAATTTCTTGAATATAAACAGTAGATAAAAATTATTTTATTTCATTAGACGATAAAAGACTACTTTATCTACTGAAAGTAGTTGAAAAAAGCACTTTTTAACATTGAGTATAAAATAAACTAATTAGGTATCAATAAATTAACTTGCATGTGAAAACTTTAAAAGTATGACATTTTAAATTCATTTAACAATTGACTTTCCAACCTGAACTGTCATATGTCGTGTTTTTCAAAATTTGATAAATTCTTTTTGTTCTTTAAAGAAGATGATTGCGAATAAAATAGTATACAAACCTTCGGTGGGTTTCTTCTTCGTGCCTCGGCTTATTGATAATCGCGGCGCTTCGCGGCTTGATCCTCTAATTTCGCCTTGGTTATGAAGCACCTCCCACCTCGGTACGTAATCTACTATAGTAATGTATTCAATTTTTTATTATATCGTTACATTTTATGTGTGGATTAGACTCAACCTTGTATACAGGGTGTGTCAGAACTCGCGTGCCAAAGAAAAATTTCAGGTAAGATAAAATATCAGGAACATGAAAAAAATGTTCAAAAAATTTTGACATTTATTTTTTGACATTTGTCATTTTTTATGTCTAATGATACTGATGATCTTGTATATGTTTTTTGATAATTATTTAGTAAGAGTTGCAATTCGACTTTCCCAACGAAAACTATAGAATTCATAAAAATTGGTTTTTGAGTAAGATGGCTTATGTAGGGCCCAAAATACAAAAACAATGAGAAAAAATGTCTTTGAAGAAATATTATTATTACTAAAACTTAGACCCTTAGCAATTTTCAATGATATTAAACAATTCCTTGATTTTTTTATTAACAATCAAAGATTCAATGCAGTTTCTCTCAAAACTGTAATTTTTGAGTTACTATAGTTTTTGTTGGGAGTGTCGAATTTAGGATAGGTACCTACAGCTTTCTTGGTTCCTCTTCTAATAGCCTAAAGAAAAAAAAAATTGTTCCTTGTACTTTACCTTACCAGGCATTTTTCTCTGAAGCGCGAATTCTGGCGCACCCTGTATTAATTAATCTAATTGATTTTACCACTTAATCGCAAAAATCTTGATCAGAATCATGTTTTACAATTTTTATTTTGGTTTCAGAAATGACTAAGAATGTCGAACGACTCGTCTAACCTGCGCGACTCTCCATTAACGACCAACTCCAGCGTGGAGGACGCCACCACCCACGTCCAAAAACTGGCCCTCGCCGGCCTCCTCAGCGTGGTCATCGTCGTGGTGATCATCGGCAACACTCTCGTTATTTTGGCTGTGATAACAACAAAGAGATTACGTACAGTAACCAACTGCTTCGTCATGTCTCTAGCAATCGCCGATTGGCTCGTGGGCGTCTTCGTTATGCCTCCGGCCGTCGCCAACACTCTGATGGGTAAAATCCCGACTTCTCTCAATCTTCAACTAACCCTTTCCCCCAGGTGCTTGGGAACTCGGCTGGATCCTGTGCGACATCTGGGTCTCGCTCGATATCCTCCTGTGCACCGCATCGATACTGAGTCTGTGTGCCATAAGCGTGGACCGATACTTGGCCGTGACTCAGCCTCTGAGTTACTCCAGGAGACGGCGCTCGAAGAGGTTGGCCTTCACCATGATCCTGGTGGTGTGGATGAGCTCGGCGCTTATCACGTGTCCGCCCATGTTCGGATGGTGAGTGATAAATGGCTGATATCGTAGAGGTGGAAAATAAAACAGTCGCAAAAATATTGTCAAGGGATAGACCGCAACGAGGTGAAACATGTCCTCATTTATTACGTTGACATTCCACGGGTTTATAAATTTCAAGTCGCACCACATAATGATGCGAACTTCAAGTCAGAAAGCTCGCATTTGTTAGACGAGGTTGGGAATCTAAGGCCCTCTTCTATATTGTTCAACATAAACAAGAACTTTTTAAGTTTGAAAAAACAAACAAATTTTATTGAACGTCAATTTTTAGGTTTTTAAATGGTATTTTTTTGAAATATTCGTAACTTCGTAAATGAAATAAAATGTGGCCTCAATTTTATCCATAAAGATAACTTTATACACGAACAGATAGTTTAAATTCACATAATGTTTTAAATTTTTCGGTTTTTAGTTTTGAATAAAATTAGGAACAACGTGATGCAACTTTTTTGTTTTTCAAAGTTATAAGCTATAGTAAAAGATTTGTCTTTTATAGTGTTAGTGCATTTACTTGTATTAAATGGATTATAATAGATTTTCACTGAGACAAAACTAATAAAATTAAAGAAAAAACTGTTCGTGAATCGTAAATTAATAAAAACTTGTTTGAAATCCAATGAGGTAATTTTTACTTCAACTAAACTAATTTCACAGTTGGTGTTTTATGAATGCGTTAATAGCCTCCAATAGACCCGGAATTTTCCGGTTTTCCCAATGGATTTGAACTTCCCAGAACATAGGTAAAGGTTAAATTTGTGCTATCGGTCAGGATTCCCGGTTATTAAGCTTTTCGCATACCTTTCAAGTTATTAGCAAATTGTAAAAAATGGTTTTATACTTTGTACAGATGTACAGGGTGCTGCATTTTGGATGTCCGAATAGGGAATCTCCGAAACTAAGAGGTTTAGGAAAAAACGAGTAATACATTCTGGGGCTCATTTTTTGAGGAAATAATATTGGTTAAAACCCTATCGTCTTTTGTTTTCGACTTATAGACAAAAATTGACATTTTAGCGAAATCTAAAAAAAATCATATCTTCATTATTATAGAAGACACATATTTGAAATAAAGACATTATACAGACACTTTTTTACGTAGAATTTAATAATGCAGTTAACATTTTTTTCAGTTCTTTGTTTAGCCGTAATAAAATAAACTTGTATTTTTTTAAATGGGAATCATAGATGGCTATGTCATTTTTAAAAAGCTTGTTTTCTTCTTATCTAAAAAATATATATTTGTAACAAATTATTATAATACATTTTTAGCAAAAAATTATCTTTGATTTTTCTTCGTAGTTGGCAATGAAAAAATGTTGCATCTTCAACTAAAAGGATTTAAACTATATTATTGAACCAGTGTCACTAATGAAAGAGTTTTCTAAGTACTAAGTAATGAAAAAAATGCAAAATAAATTGTAAATCAACTTATTGGCGACTAATAACATTTCTTTGTTTTTTTTTTAAACAAGCTAACATTACCTTTGTATCTTCTAGTGATACATAGAGTGTTGTAAAAAAACCGCTTTAATTCTTCAATAAAATATATTTTATATGACACAAAAATGACGATATGACTATTCAAATACCCAAATTCCGTCTATGTGAAACGTTATCCTACCTCCATTAGTTCATCAAAAAAATGTTTTTTTCTAATTGTGTTGACTGTTGACACATTTGTTTTTTTCCTATTTTTGGATTTATTAAAAATATGTAACAATTTTGTTCTGAGGCGCTCGCATATTTGATAAATACATCATCCGTATCGTATTTTTTAAATTTTTATAATTGTATCTATTTTTTCATCTATTTTACAGTTCACAAAAGTCTTATTGATTATTATTTACACATTTGGAGTGAAATAGTTTTTCTATGGCCAACTATTATGAAACAAAATATGTATTTCACTTTTTAAGTATAATTATAAAAAAATATTTTCTTACAAATTTATATTTTTTAGATCAGAAAAAAATAAGCTTTTCAAAATTTCCATAGCCGCGTATGATTTCTATTTAAAAAAATACAAGTTTATCTTATTATGGCTAAGCCAATAACTGAAAAAAATTGTTAACTACATTTTTAAATTCCTCGTAAAAAAGTACCTTTTATAATGTCTTTAGAATGTACAGGGTTATTCATAAAAATGAAGCAATATTTGAACCTCAAAAATGACCTATAAAATGATGTTAATTTAAATAATAACTCGTGTTCTATCTCTACTGATAAGAATTTTACAGCCCTCGGAACGTGGGTATGGAAATTTGATTTTTTTGTAGTAACTTTAAAACTATTTGACCAAATATTAAAAAATTTGGAACATTTCCCTGTGATAACATACCCTTTGAACTGGTAATGACGAAAACCGGATACATCCACTCAATTTCCGGTTACAGCAGTTGCAGGTCACATTTTCTGTGTTTTTCCATTTTTTTGCTCTCTTAAGACCAATTTTTTATTGCCCAAATCGATAGAGTAATCAATTTCGATTAAAAACCGCATAACCTTTAATACCCCTAAAATGGACCGTTTCAAAGATATTTTAATTTAAACTGAAAACTGCACAACACTGAAATCAAAAAAATAGGGATTTTGAATAAGTGGTATCCACGGAAACCAATGACCATAGTCACATAAATCCCTGCCAGGCATCTGTTAACTTTGACGATAAATTTTTGTGAATTTTTTATGAATTAAATGCTACGAGATCTATTTGGATTTATTCTAAGTTATGTTTGGAATCTGAGGTAACCTCTTTTATTAAATATTTTCGATTAATTGTCTAATAATCGTCCAATGACAAAGTTGACAGATGCCTGACAGCGATTAGTGAGACCATGGTCATTTGTTACCGTGGATATCATCCATTCAAAATCCATACTTTTTGGTTTCAGCGTTGTGCAGTCCTCAGTTTAAATTAAAATATCTTTGAAACGGTCCATTTTAGGAGTATTAAAGGTTATGCGTTTTTTAATCAAAATTAATTACTGTATCGATTTGGGCAATAAAAAATTGGTGTTAAGAGAGCAAAAAAATGGAAAAACACAGAAAATGTGACCTGCAACTGCTGGAACCGGAAATTGAGTGGATGTATCCGGTTTTCGTGATTACCAGTTTAAAGGGTATGTTGTCACAGGGAAATGTTCTAAATTTTATAATATTTGGTCAAATAGTTCCGAAGTTATTACAAAAAAATCAAATTTCCATACCCACATTCCGAGGGCTGTAAAATTCTTATCAGTAGAGATAGGACACGAGTTATTATTTAAATGAACATCATTTTATAGGTCATTTTTGAGGTTCAAATATTGCTTCACATTTATGAATAATCCTGTATAATGTCTTTATTTCAAATTCGTATCTTCTATAATCACGAAGATATGATTTTTTTTTAGATTTCGCCAAAATGTCAACTTTTGTCTGTAAGTCGAGAACGAAAGACGATAGCGGGATGGGGTTTTAACCAATATTATTTTCTCAAAAAATGAGCCCCAGAATATATCACTCGTTTTTGACAAAACCTCTTTGTTTCGGAGATTCCCTATTCGGACATCCAAAATGCAGCACCCTGTACAACTGAAGCAATACCAAAAAAGTTTCAACTTTTTTAACCAAAAACATTATTATTTCTAAATATTCTAAATATCTGTCACAAGTAGCAAAGAGAGTAGTGATAGGTGGTGATTATAATATTAATTTTAATTCTAATTCGAATATCAGTCGTGATTTTGTAGATCTATTACAACATTATAACTTAAATTTGATTTTCCGAGACGCAACTCGTGGCTATAAGTGCATACATAATATCATTACCAATAACTATGTTCAGGTATTAAATACAAACGTTGAAGATGTCCGATGACAATAACATCATCAAAATCCAATAATTTTAATAATCGCGTTCTCTTTCATATAAAAGAAATTTTAACGAAAAAAATATACATAATACTTTAGCTACACTTAGATGGAATGACGTCTTGTTGACAAATGATTGTAATTTGGCTTTCAATTTATTCTTGGACTGCCTCTCAACGGTTTTTGATCAAAGTTTCTCTAAACAAGCTTCGCCAAAAGACAATACGACAAAGAAAAATAACTTGAAATTGATACCTTGGGTGATTAAATTAAAAAATGCGGTTTCTCTTTATGGAGACTTGTGTAAATTTTACCCAGAATTTAAAAAAAAGATTTGCACAAATTAATAAAGAATATCAAAGAGCTTTAACAAATTTAAAAAAATCAACTAATGACAACTTTATACTCAATTCAAGTAACAAAAATAAAGCATTATTGACAATTATCAGTGAAACTACTGGTAGAAAAATGGACAATAAACACGAATTTAAAATTAAAGATAAAAACAATAAACTACTTAGTCAAATCGAAACAGCTAACGCTTTCAATGATTTTTTTGTTGAAGCGCCGTTAAACGCGACTTCTCATATTTCAGAAAAAATTGATTATGAATTTGTAAACAAGGCACATCGAATATTAGTAAATATTTTTTTTTACTAGGTGTAACAGAAAATGATGTTATTCTAACAACCAACAGCTTGAGTAACTCAAGTGCTTCGGGTATAGATGGAATTTCTAATATCTTACTAAAAAGAATTGCATTAACAATAGTAACTCCGTTAACTCACATAATAAATTTATCTTTACAGTCGGGCATTTTTCCTAATAAGCTGAAAACTGTTAATGTTATTCCTTTGTATAAAAAAGGTTCTAAAACTGACATATCCAATTATAGAGCTATAAATTTGTGTTCCAGTATTTCTAAAACAATAGAACTAGTAGTAAATAAGCAATTAATGTCTTTTCTATCTTCTAATAATTTAAAATCACACTGCCAACATGGCTTCATAAAAAGTAAAAGTATAGATACGGCCATTTTTCAATTTTTAATAGCTATTGTTTCAGCCATAGACAAAAAAGAAACAGCGATTGGTTTATTCATTGATTTTGCAAAAGCGTTTGACTGCGTA